CGTCAAGCGATGGTACGTCAGAGACATTCTACGCTAGAAAACGGGTCTGGCAGGTATTGGGTGGAGATGATTTTGAAGGAATTTTTCAAAATTTTAAAAAAATCGAAAAATGCTGCAAATCTTTCAAATGGCGCTAAAAACTAAAAAAATTGAAAGATTACCAAAAAAAATTATTTTGAAATTTTTTCAAAAATTTTGGTTTTGTTAGCGTTTTAGACATTTTCCAGCAATTTTTGATTTTTCGAAAATTTTCAAAATTCGCCTCACCGGAAACTTACTAGAACATCCTCCAGCTAGAATCCGTCCCTACCACAGCAAGTCTCTGCATGACTCGTTGACAGCCTCACCAGCTCTCTGCCTTACTCAGTCTCTTTGTCACTATGTCTCAGTCGGACGCGTTCTCTGCCTCACACTGTCTCTGGCGGAAGTCTATGCCTCAACCGATCCCCGCCGGAAGCGTTCCTTGCAACGACGGCGCGTAAGGAACGTGGTCAAAGAGAGACCGGATGGCCTAGAGGCTGTGCACAGCAGAGTCCCTGTGCGTCATTGAGATGGTATGTCAGAGACAGGCCACGCCAGAAAACGTGTCTGGCAGGTATCGGGTGGGGATGATTTTGAAGGAAATTTTCAAAATTTAAAAAAAATCGAAAAATGCTGCAAATCTTGCAAATGGCGCAGAAACCTAAAAAATTTGAAAAACTATAAAAAAGTGTTTGAGAATTTTTCAAAAGTTTTTGGTTTTGTGAGCGTTTTAGACATTTTCCAGCATTTTTTTTATTTTTCGAACATTTTCAAAAATTTTCAAAGTTCGCCTCACCGGAAACTTACTAGAACATCCTCCAGCTAGAATTCGTCTCTACCACAGGAAGTCTCTGCATGAGGTTACGCTGGATTGGGTTAGGTTGGGTTAGGTTAGGTTAATTGGGTTAGGTTAGGTTGGGTTTTTTAGGTTATTTTGTGTTAGGTTAGGGTGGGTTAGGTTAGGTTGGATTGGGTTAGGTTAAGTTAAGTTTGGTTAGGTTAGGTTGGTTTGGGTTAGGTTAGGTTTGGTTAGGTTGTGTTAGGTTAGGTTTGGTTAAGTTAGGTTAGGTTAGGTTTGGTTAAGATAGGTTAGGTTAAGTTGGGTTGGGTTAGGTTAGATTTGGTTAGGTTAGGTTGGGTTAGGTTTGGTATGGTTAGTTTAGGTTAGCTTATGTTAGGTTTGGTTACGTTAGGTTAGGTTAGATTACGTTAGGTTAGGTTAGGTTGTGTTGGTTTGGATTGGGTTACGTTAGGATATTGAGATAGTTTGTGGCGCTCTTCGGTAAAATTTCGGTCTCCGACAGCGTCGCTACGCTTGGCGTCTATTATCAAGCATCGTGCCCAACGTTGCACCAAGTGTTTATACCTCTTTTGGAGTTTCTTTTATGGCGTCACGACGGACGTCGTCCCAAAGCTCGGCGTCGGTTCTATAGTTTAGTGTTCAGTGTAATCTTAATCTTCCATAAATTTGGCGTCAAACGAGAGCGTCGCTATGATTAACGTCGCGACGCATGGCGTTGATTTTTAAAAGTCACCTGAAATGTAATCCGAAAGTTTGCGTTCAATTCATTGGGTCTTATGAAGGCGTCGCGACGCCGGGCGTCGATTTTCAAACGTCACTCCTAATGTAATCCGAAGGTTCGGAATGGAATCATTGGGTCTTAGGAAGGCTTCGCGACGATAGGCGTCGTTTTTCAAAAGTCACTGGCTTCGTAATCCGAAGGTTCGGGGTAGAAATATTGCGTCTTTCGAAGGTGTCGCGACGGCGAGCGTCGATTTTTTGATGTCACCCAATGCAATCCGAATGGTTTGAGTCACATCCCTTTATTCTTAGAATGGCGTCGCGACAGTAAGCGTCTCAATGTTAGGCATCCTTCTACAAGCTAAGTGTTGTGTGTGATATACACTTATATTCCATAGTTTGACGTATTGTGCGGGCGTCGCGATAGGCGTCGCGACACCGGACATCGTTTTTCTGAAGTCTCCCCCACTGTTATCCGAAAGGGTTTAGGTTAGGTTAGGTTAGGTTTGTTTGGGTTAGGTTAGGTTGGGTTAGGTAAGGTTGGGTTAGGTTAAGTTAGGTTAGATTACGTTATACCCGTACCACTGAAATTTCGGAATTATAGAGGTCCTTCAAATTCCCAAGGTCATAAGTTGCGCTTATTTCTGCCAAACCGTAAATGCCTGATTGACCATACTCATGTCAAAATGAGGTCACTTATAGGTCAAGGTCATATCGAAGCCACGACAAAATCGGACGAGTAGTTTACTAGATACGGGTCTTAAAAATTCCCAAGGTCATATATTCTTACGATTATTTCTGCCAAACCTTAAATACCTGGTCGACCATACTTATGTCAAATTGAGGTCAGGTATAGGTGCAGGTCATATGGAAGTCACGAGAAAATGGGTCCACTAGTTTAATAGATACGGGTCTTTAAAATTCTCAAGGCCATAGATTTTCACGCTTATTTCTGCCAAACCTTAAATACCTGGTTGACCATACTCATGTCAAAATGAGGTCAGGTATAGGTGAAGGTCATATGGAAGGCCCGAGAAAATGGGTGCACTAGTTCCCTAGATACGGGTCTTTAAAATTCTTAAGGTCATAGCTTTTCACGCTTATTTCTGCCAAACCGTGAATACGTGGTTAACCATACTCATGATAAAATGAGGTCACGTACAGGTCAAGGTCATGAGGAAGGCTCTATAAAATCGGTCCACTAGTTTCCCAGATAGAGGTCTTTAAAATTCTCAAGGTCATACATTCTCACGCTTATTTCTGCGAAACTGTAAATACCTGGTTGACCATACTCATTTCAAAATGAGGTCACGTATAGGTCATGGTTATTCAGTCTTCTATCTCACGAGGTGTCCACCTCACGCGGTCTCAGCTTGGTACGATCACAGACTCACTTGGTCTGTATGGCCCGGTCTCTGCCGGACTCTACCCGTGCGTGCCGGACACGGTCTCTGCCTCCCCCGGTCTCAGATATTCCCTGTCTCTGTATGATCCGGTCTCCGACGTCCCGTCTCTTCAAAGACCGGGTACGGCAGAGGCCGGTGCAGGCAGTGATTTGGTGAAGAGTTTTTTTTAAAAAAATCCAAATTTATCAAAATTTTAAAAAATCAAAAAAAGCTGGATATTGTCCAAAGGGCGCACAAAACTAAAAAAATTGAAAAATATCAAATTAATTTTTTTTCAAAAATTTCAGGATTGTTTGGTTTTCTGCGCTCTTAAGGCACTTCCCGGCATTTTCTATTTTCCGAAAATTTTGAATTTTTTTCTCGAAATTCTCCCTACCCGACCTCTAATAGAACCGGTCTCTGCCGCACCCTGTCACTGCCAGACTCGGTCTCTGTTACACGAGATGTCTATCTCACAAGGTCTCTGAATCATTCAGTGTCTGCTGGGTATGGTCACTGACTCACTCGGTCTCTGTATGACCTTGTCTCTGCCAGACTCTCACCTGGTGCCTGCCGGACACTGTCTCTGCTGTGCTAGGTCTCTGACGGTCCGGTCCTCTCTTCAAAAATCGGGTATGGCAGAGGCCGGTTCTGGCAGGGATTGGGTTGGAGGATTTTGAAAAAAAATTCCAAATTTTTCAAAATTTTCGAAAAATCAAAAAATTCTGGAAATTGTCCAAAAAGCGCACAAAACTAAATAAATTGGAACACTGTATCTACCAGACTGTTTCTTTTCTGGACCCCATCTCTGCCTGACCCTGTCTGTGCCTGTCCAGGTCACTGCTGGATTCAGTCTCTGACAACCAGTTCTCTTCTGGACCCAGTGTCTGATTGAATGATATTCAAAATTAAATGCAATGTCAACATTTGAAAATTTTCAAAATGTCCTAAAAATTGAAAGCAATGAAATTTTTTTTTGAATGTGTAATTTTTTGAAAATTTTTGAATTAATAAAAATTCAGAACATTCTGTATCTACCAGACTCTGTCTTTGCCAGACCCGGTGTCTGCCGTATCCGGTCTCCATCCGACAGTCTCTGGCGGACCCTCAGTCATTATTAACACACCTATTCACACACTAACAAACCTCGGCATCAACCCATGCACTCACCCTTCAGTCTCCAATGTTTCATCCCACAGGCTGTCATCTGTTAACCCATCTTACTCACAACTCACCTAATCACCCACACTGTGTCTGACATAGTGCTGACACCAACTGCCTGAACCGAATCATTCACTTACTCTAACACTCAACCCATTCAGCCACTTTCCTAATAATTCAGTGACTGTGCGACCTAGTCACCCGCTCACCACTGACCTACCCACTACTCACTTCATGCGCCCACTGGCATTGACTGAACCACCTAATCCCCCCTCTCACACACACACGTATTCACCCACCTGCAACCAGCACATTAATCCACCTACTGATTCACATTCACCGATTCACATTTGGATGAGGATAAGTAGATATGGGAGATGGATATACCAATGCTGTGCTGTTTACCAGATTTAAATCACTGCAGTTTTATTAAACCACAGAACATGTATAGATTCTGAAATACAGGATACTACCCATAATGCAATGTATCACATTCCTGCCTTTTGTGAAATGTATTTGAATGTGATCATGTCAGAGCTTGCTGTCTCATATACTCCCACACAAACAATGCACCAGTCACATGCACATTGAGGGAGCGCACAATTCCCTGCTGGGGAATCTCTACACAAACATCCAGAAATGGTAGGATATCTGGTGGGATGCCTTCCCTCTCATTTCTGGAAAGGAATGAAACTAGATTAGGATAGACCCTCATACCTAAGCCAATGTTCAGCCGAGATCAGTAAGTGGCAGAGCTCATTTAGCTATACACCAAGCCACCTTATCCTTGAGGAAATAGGTCCTCATACCTGTTGTAGAGGATTGCACCCCACTATTCAGCTCAGTGTTGTGACAGAAAAGTCTGTACTCCCATTAAGGAATAAAACACTGGGTTATAGCCTGCAGTCAAGCAATGTATGGCCAACTGAAAAGTTTTTATTTTTTATACTTCTGAACCTGTTGTCCTGCAAATAACAAATTTATACTAGCACAAATTATGCACAAAACTTTATTAAGGAAATAAAACTAATTTTCAGGAAATATAATCCACAGGTCCAATACCTCTAATAGCAAAACATACAGAGTGAACCCATTCCCGAGCCTGTCACATTCACCTCACACACACACACACACACAGCTGATGTTATCCTTAGTCTTTTGACTGATTCCTTGCTGAAACTGTGTAAATTTATTCCCTACATTCATGCTACATACCCATACATCATCAAAATTTCCAATGCTAAACAGGATAAATCACAAACATCCTCATTATGCAATATCAGACTTTACGGGAGAGAAGGAAACGTGAAAAAATGACATTATCAGTTACTGTTTCAAGTGATATTACTAAATACTTTGGTGTAATGTTACTTGCTGCTTTGTCTCCTGTCAGTACATGTAGTATAAAATCCTACAAGTGTAATTCTTTGGAGTCTTGGATGCATTGTGCCAACACATAAACCAACAGAGAACTAATACTGCTCCTCTGAAATCTCTCTTGTAACTGACTTCCTCACTTATACAGCCAATCATATAGTTATACTTACCCCAGCAAGAGCAGTGCCTTCTGAGGGAACTTGAAGTCATTCAGCCGAGTACTGTTTGCTGTCTGCTCAGCTCCAACCAGTGTGTAACCATCCTTTCTCTTGACCTCCAAATACCTGGACAGCAAGTGAGGCTTCACCTGAATATGAAGTAACAGTAAATCTGTTATATGTTTCCTGATTCATGTATCAGCTGCACATGTAATTATAGTGTTAAATGATAGGTGATGTAAATAAACTGGGAATGATGTGTTCAGTGACTGTGGACTTCTTTTATTTTCAATTAATGCAGTCCTCTGACAACCAAACTTCTCCAACAGAATCTTGAATTCCCACAGCTTCTCCTCTACGTCTGCTCATGTTCCTCCTTAACTATGTGCAACATCTTTCCTAATCTGTGTTCCCACCTTGATCCTGATCTCCCTCTTGGGTGTTTTCCATGTCTTTTATCTTAACCCTTTGCGGTCCCTTTTAAATACCACTACGGCTCTCTGATGGTCTATTTAAATACCACTAAGCTAAATTTAAGGGAAGGTAATGTAAATATTGGTCACCCTCGGTGGACTGGTGGTTAGCGTGCTCCCCACTGGACCCAAGGTTCGTGGGTTCAAACCCGGCCGAGGTCGACTGATTTTTAAGGGTGATAAAAATCCGTAGCACAACTTCCTTCGGAGGGGAAGTAAAGCCGGTGGTCCCATGTCGTAGATTTATGGTATGTAAAAGAACCTTACGAGCATGAATAAAGATATTTCATAAGCAAAATTCAGCGGTAATTTTCTCACACAAGTCTCTCCTAATTCACTGCTAGATGGCTCTAGCAGGCAAATCAGAATTGAGTATAAATTGTGCAGAGGCAGAGGGCTTGTCACTCACTACTCATAAATGCACACTTCAAAAGACAAAGAAACCTCCCACATGGGAGGAGGCCTTAGCTCGACTTCGGGCTGCTGCGCCATAGAAGAAGAAGAAGAATGTAAATATTGACAGCAGAGTACATTATAAGGTAACCTATGAAAATGGGGGGACATCAAGGGAAGGGGAAAGAATGGTATGATGAACAAAAGCAGGAGAAATGTAGAAGAGAGAGGAATATAACAATGATGGTGATGATTAAGACATAGTAGGAGAAGGAAATATTATCTTAGTAACTTGTATAGTAATGGTTGGACAAAATGTTTCTAAGTAAAAAATGCTTTTAACATACAAAATTTAAAGCTTTCACAATAACTAGAAGTGATAAAATTTTATTCAGCACTAAGCCACATTTATTCAGAACAGAAGTACAATATTTTTAGATCACCTCTGACACAATTATTAGAGACGGGGATGGTTTCTGAAATGTTGGACATCTGTTCGGAACTGGTATATTTTATTGCCCAAGAAGATTTTATTTAGTATCGCTTTTAACTTATATACTTGGTTCAATCTCCCTACCTCTGATATTGGTATCCACTGCTCAGCTGAGACACTCAAGCTGCGGAACTGCTTGTCCTCTGTGGACTTCAGACTTCCAACAACATACTCTGAGACTCCAAAACCTTCACATGTGCGACACAGGCCACCCAGATTAGGCAGACAGTCAATGAGAGATGCTACAACTATAAGTCCCTCCTGTCTCTTCTGTCTCAGTTCTGATGCCAGATCTTGTTCTGGAATCATTGCATGCCAGGGTACCAATTTCTTCTGCACATTTTTATGGAGTCTTATTGTGGAAGCAGCATCATCTTCTGCACCAACTAGTAAACACATGCATACAGGAAGTTGCTGCCCACATACAAACACACACATTGAATAAAGACAAACTGAGGGGTACAATAGAAAGAAGCAAAGAAAATAAGGAGTAACTTTATAAATTTTCCTATTCATCCAGTCTTGTTGTAGTAAAACTGAGATAGGCTGCAAAATTGGCATGCTTCAGTAAAACAGAAAATTTATATTCAGTTCTGGTACCAAAACTTCATAAAAACAGACTACCAGAGAGATGAATGCTGAACTGGACAAATAATATAATACAGTGCCTCTTACAGGAAATAATATACAGAGTGAGTCAGAAGTATGTTTACAAACTTCGTGTGTGTGTTCCAGGATCAAAAGTAAGAAAAAATATTCCTATAAACATGGAGTCGCAAAAGTTTCATTTTCGAAATAATAGCCAAAAATAATGTTCAATGTATGCCTTTATTGCCAAGTATAAGGACAGGGATGTTTCTTTATAACAGATGCTCAACAGTTGTTCCTCCATTCTCCACACATGAACGAGCACGACGTACACAAGACTGACGAATTCATTCGTACACACCAGGGTTTCCTTGAATCATCTGGCATGCATTCTGCACACGTTCCCAAAAGGTTGTCATCACTGTTTATGGGTGTTGCATAAACGACAGACTTCAAGTGACCCCAAAGATAGAAGACAAACGGAGTCAGGTCTGGTGACCTCGGTGGCTATGCTACTTTGCATCCACGCCCAATCCATCGCTGAGGGTACTGTTCATTGAGATGATATCTGACATGATCGGAGACATGTGCTGGGGCTCTGTCGTGCATAAACGACATTTTTCTTCTTGTATTCAGTGGTACATCTTCAAGGAGACGTGGCAAGTGTCTTCTTAAGAATCACAGATATGAAGGTCCTCCTAGACGCGATGGAAGCATGTGTGGACCAATAAGCATGTCGTCAACAATTTCTGCCCAAACTTTAATTAAATATCTTTATTGGAAGCTGGTTTCATTTTGATATAAAGTCAATTCATTGAAACTTATTTTTGGCTACTATTTTGACCCCATGTTCATAGGAACATTTTTTCTTATTTTTGATCCTGGAACACGCGCACGAAGTTTGTAAACATACTTCTAAATCACCCTGTATATTCACCACGAAGATGGCTGAAGGTCTTTTGTGTGTAGTAAAACTGCAATTGAAAAATTCAAGAGAAAATTAGAGAATGAATTCATTTAACTGCCATAGTTTACCAGACCCTAACAGCCATATTTAGAATTGGGGAACTTGAAAAAAGGTTATGGTTATGTTAAATACAACCTATAAATTGCTTATTTTAACATGTGATGTTGATCATCATCATATTAGAGGAGTAGATTGTGAAGATGTGAAATGTATGCTGCTTCAGTACGTGATACAAGAGTGACCTGATCAAGAACCACAACACTAAACTACTTTAATTCAGTTCAAATACATTTATTTCCTCAAGAACTGGATCACTTTCATAACTGATATTCAGAGGATGTAAGAATATGATTGAAGGCATTATCAAGCAAGTTATTGTAGACTGTGTACACTGTCTCTACACTAACCTGAGGACTTCGGCATCCAAGCAGCTGCAGCAAATTGCTTAAGAGCACAGTTTGAGTTTACCAAGTCAATGTGACTCATCTCAGACACACCACAGGACCTCAAGAGGTCAGGAGAAATCCACTCCTCATCGGTGACACCAGCTAACCGTGGGAGATCGTAAAAGATGGTCTGAAAAGCAATTACACAGCATGCCCTTTAAAAGAAGGAAGGAAACAAGAATAAGTTATGATTTGCAACACTTTGCAATTTACATTAAACTACAATTGTCAATACCCCAATACTGCACACCAATGATATACCTGTATAAATAATTTGTAAAAAAATACAAAGCAATCTTTAAGACTGATGAGGAGCACTTCAGGGGTTTCCTGTATGTGTTTGGCATGTGTCAGAAACACATTGAATAAAAACAAGAAAATATGTCACAATATACTTTCATGTACGTGAGATCTGAGGTTCTCACGGAGACAAATATGAAGACAGCTGTCTTCTGGGTTGTGCTGTGTAGTCTGGTAGATATTCAGAGGTGTCTGCTGCCTTCATTATCAGGACGCAGTAAGAGCACCCCCACCCCCCAATATTGAAGTACAAATTTTAAATTCTGTATAACAATTTTTTCCCCATAAACAATTTTAAGGTCTTAATTTAAATGGCTGCTGTCATGCCCAGCTCAATAGGCTGAGGATTAAAACATATAAAGATGGGGAAGTATACTTTTAAGGAAAGTTAGGTTAATGGTATCATGATGTCCATTACAGTGTCCAGGTGTATCTGTCTGTCACTTAAAATTTTGAACCTAATGAGGGACTTTCATTAAACTTGGTACCAAAATGTACCCATCCTACCATCAGTAATACCAAAATGCCAACTCTGTTAACTTCGAGGATGGAGGAACACTGGTACCATTGATCTGACATCTTGTGTGGTAAACACTTTAAAAAAATTAAACTTCTGCATAATATTTTCTTTATATTATAAAATACAGTAGGGCCCCACTTTTCGGCGCTCCGCTAATACGGCACTCAACAGCTGAGTCAGAGAAGTGCGTCTGGCGCCATTTTCTCGTCGCTGATTCAGTCTGTTTACAGCTTTTGTGCGCTCCGCATCTCTCTGTATTTCTGGCAATTTTTCAAAGTTATTACAAACTGTATATTTATGTAATATTTTTGTGTTACTACAGTGTAATTACAATGGTGTCTAAGGGTAGTAGCGATAAAAAGAGGAGTCGTAAGCCTCTTACTTTAAATGCCAAGTTAGATATAAATAAACTTCGTGAACAAGGCATGTCTATGGCTGAGATAGGACGTAAGCTAGGCCTGGCTCGCCAAACTGTTAGTGCCATCGTGAACGCTAAGGAGAAAGTGTTAAATGAAATTAAAAGTGCCACACGAATGAACTCTAAAGCCATAAGAAAAAGAGATAGCCTTATTGCCGACATGGAAAAACTTTTAGTTGTGTGGATTGAAGATCAAACGAGCCACAATGTGTGTACTACTGACATTAATTTTACTTTCATATCGTTTTCTTAGGCCTAGCGCTATTGTGCACTTACTATATGGTAGTGTAAACATCTTATTAGGCTTTGATATGCATTTGCAAGTGAATTAAGGCAAAGATCCGCTTTTCGGCGATTTTCGCTTTACGGGGGGGGGTGTCTGGTCCCTAACCTGCCATATAAGCGGTGCCCTACTGTAATACGATTGCAGCTGAATGAAATATATATTAGTTGTTTGTTCGATGACAAAAACTAGAGTTACTGCAGCTAGGAATGTGAAAGTAGGCCCAGACTGTTTTCTAGACACATCTAAAACTTTGTATCAAAAATTATTTCTGTGTGCAGTGAAAGAAAACACATATTACAGAAAATAATGTGCGTACATCTAACAACTTTCACATACAGAGAATTCAAACAAATAGATAACCGAGTTTCATCTTTATTGATTTATAATCGTAATAGATTCTGTATGCAGATGGAAGCATTTAAAAGAAAGTTATAATAACTTGGGAATATATACAGATTATTTTAATATGAGTACATGTGAATATACCTGAATTCAACATAAACCCCAAGTCATGTTCCTACTTACCTCAAGAGTGTAATGCTCAACGGGATGGAAAGCACTGAAGTAGAAATCTTCCTGCAACTTGTGGACATTTTTCACAGCATTGCCATGCTTCACACTGGCCTGCAAACTCAACTCCACTATGTAGTACTCAGTAGAAACTCGGTCAAGTCGTTGGGCCTTACAGAGTGCAATCAGCTTCTGCAGTGTTGTCTAACACAAGAAGAAGAAAACAAGCGCAACAGAATCAATCTTCAACACATCATGGCAAAATCCTGCAACAACTGAATCCAGTATACAGGACAGAACCCTGGCCCAATTCAATCCATCTTTATTACATATTTCCTGAAGGCCCATTTTCATATTATACCAATAAACCTACCACACCACTGTCCAAAACATAAAATACTTAATGATTTCATGGTGAACGGTCTTCTGGGTTGTAGTGGTATGTAGTCTGGTAGAAGTTTACCTACGTTTCAGAAGTCCTTGCTGCCTCCACATCTTCAGGGTGGTGATAAGCTTCTACCAGACTACATGGCGCTACAACCTAGAATAGAGCCACTTTTATTGGATATATTTTTCAATATCATGTAACACAATCTTACATCAACAATGTTGTTGAAGTTAAGAAAAAATATTGGTGACTAAAAAGCATTTAAAACAGTGCCAAAGAAAGATAACTAATCATAGTATGAAAGGTACAAAACTCATTTAAGATGCCACTACAGCCTGCTCCCAGCAAATGTGAATCTCTTAGTGCAGACATCGCAACACACGAGACCAAATATTGGAGTTAACAAAACTGGATACAAATGCAAAACCACAGATGTCTGAAATATGCTACTGGCAAAACTGTGGTTTTCAACAGACTGCAATGTATTTAATGAAATAAAACAATATATAATTTATGCTAGTGTTCAATACGTTTACTATCTCAAGAAAAGCCTCTTTGAGCCTTTATATGTATAATAAATAAACACAAAAAACAATAAGGGACACAAACTCTGGATATGGAATGTCTGAATACACAGATTTCCATTTTGTTAATGTAAATGTTTTATAGGCACACCTGGGAACCTCTTACCTGAGCATAGAGGCGCACACTGAAGTGCTGGGCCATACAGCAAGGCAGTATCTCACGCATGCTCCTGCCCACAAATACTTCCTCTTCATCAATCAGCACACATGCCAGCTGGTACAGGACTGCGATGAATGAACACATGCTGCCAGGCCGCTTCTGTCTTCCCTGCAATAATCACATAAAAAACATACATTTAATATCACACAGTGATCTGTTGATATTCAGATCATACTGTGGGAAGGAGAATAATAGAAAAATGAAGCTATTAAAAAACCTGGCACTTGCAAACATGGCAAGAAACTATTCAGAACACATAACGAGTTATAGGAACAGGATGGAAAATGTAAGATACCACAAGGAATTATGACTGACAAAACTAAAGGAATAAGATATACAAACCTGAGAAGAAGGTATTGATATCATACTGACATGAAAAGGAAGAGGACAGAAAACAAAAAGTACCTTAAGTATGGCAGATAACAGATGTAAGAAACCTAGATGATACACAGACACCTGGGAAGATGGTTCACATATTCAGAACATACTGAGAAAACAGGAAGCAAAATGAATAATACCATCGATAACAAGTAGGACAACAAGGAAGAAGGTCTACAGGCATACACAATAAAATTCAGGGAGAAAGTATTATGAAGATAATGACGAAAGGGAACAGGATGCAATGAGGCCAAAACCCAAGTCAGGATTTGATAGAAGTGAAGAGCTCCTTGCAATAAATCTATGGATGCAAGTTATAATGGTGATGTTAATAATGGACATCAAGAACCATGAACTTACACAATGTTTCATTGTTTGGACATGGACTTAAATGCACAAAACAGAGGCAAAGTTGTTTCATTACTTTTTACATATTCTTTTTTAAAGTAACACAAGAAAGACAATAAAGTGAGCGTGCCAATATTTGGAAAAAATTTGCAAATAGAAAAGTGAATGAAAGTTTAATCCCCTACTATGCAGTCTGCAACTGTTGCCTATGTATTCTGTCACACAATCACATGAGAAAATTAAATACACACACAATGTTGATTAAAAACCAACAAAAGACACCAAAAGGGAAACATGAGCTTGGATGAAAGGATAGTACGAAAACTGATCTTATGCAAGCATCTTATGACAATGTGAAATGGCTTAGAAGCATGTCCAATGGTGTACTTTGATATTAGCAACATCAAACACTCAGTTTCTAACAAAACATTAGGTTAATACCTTCTGTGTAGATACCTACCTGCTGAAACATGTCCCACAGTCTGTCACGCAGGTGAGGATGGTGGTACAAAAGTCTTGTAAGGAGCCACTCTTGCTGGTAGCGGACACTGGGCTGCTGACTCTCCATCAGAAGACTGTCCTGGAGCCACTGCACAAGCCGTTCTGCTGTCTCCTGTGACACACGCATCAATAAAGAGACAGAGAAGGGCCTATGGGAATGAATCTTCCAGTCAGTCAAGAAAAATATGTCAGTCATCTGTGTTGGCCAATATGCTGTTGTCAGAACATAGACATCGTTGCATTATTTCATACTTACATACGCAAATACAATAAAACCTACAAATTGTGGTCTTCTGTGTTGTGATACAACATAGACCTGTAGGTGTACCATGCTTTCTGGAAATAAATAAGTCTGCCCATCAACAAAATAAGTGCAGAATACTTCAATACTGATCAAATTAAAAAGGATGAGGGTAAGGAGAAATGAAGGAAAACCGATAATATGAATTGCTTGGTAAGAGTAGAGCACATATGAATGATGAATTTTTGGCTTTTCTCTGAGTCCTCCAGGTTTCCCTGTCAGTAATATTCTATTGCTGCTCCATGCACACTCATGCATCATCTGGTGAATGGACAGAGGGCCTGGCATTGCCCCATTTCCACCGAGACATAGTCTTAACCCATCACAACAAAAATAAAAGAAAAATACACAGCATAAAGTATGGTGTGCAGTTATGAGTAGTTTTACGGTATTATATTCTTTTAACTTTAAAACTGTATTTGTATCTAAGACACTTTCTGTTTTGGTTATGCACTTGTTCAAAGCAAAAATTTGATACACGCACATCTTGTCATAAAGCAGAATTCTTCCCACAAGTGACAGAACAAAAGAAACACAATTGTACATAAGATACCCAATTGGAACACGTGGAATTGAACAGGAATACATTATCAAAGCAAGTATTAAGTTGATATTTGTCTTAGATACAAACTGCACTGAAGTAGTGCAAGATGAAGCCTCAACAGAAACAGTTACCACCAGTACACTTACCACATCAAGCAAGGGCTCAAGGACCAGAAGACTCTGCATCACACGATGTTTCAAGCGATGAAGCTGTGAATCACCATAGTATCGAGTCTTATGTGAAGATTCAGCCCTGTCTTTCAGTACAAGTGCATCCATCAGCTTTCCAACAAATTGGTGGCTTAAGCCACTGCCACATGCCACCAGCAACAACTGCAGAGCCCGTGCCCGCACTTCACTGTCCACACAGCAATCACTACAACAGAACAGGCAACCCAAAACACTGAATTTAAAGTATCAAACAGAACAAATTATTTATGCAAATGAGATAACAGTTGTAGATTCATGATTCAGACAAATGCGCTACTGATAATAAAGATCCTGGTCTAATATTCTAGTATACGCTTGCCTTTTTCTTAAAAATGGAAATGTGAATGAATTCAGCATAATTTATGGTATGTAAACTCAGATAAGAATTAATTTATTTTACCAATGTGGTCTCTTATAAATTTTATGTATTCTTGAAAGCAATCTGCTATTCACCACAGCTTTCTCAGTCCATCACAACTTCATTATATCTCCATATTAATTACTTTTAGTAGTTCCTACCAGGGCTTCATGCTATTATGCTGGTGTTACAAACTATAACTGACCACTAACAAGATGGCACTTACAGGGAATGCTGCCATGTGGGGACCGGTCAGTTCACTTATGAACAGGGGTGTGAGAACCTCTACTTTGCAAATGAAGCAGCTTCTTTTGCTTAAATTCATAGTACAATAGGAAATTACTACATCTGCCTGCAGAACAGACTCCCTGTTGCACTGAACACAACTTGTGAGTGGTCAGCAATACATTACTCTGTCAGGCAGTCTCCTACTTTAAATGTTATGAGAATGCAAGGTTGGACTTTGGCAGGCAGAAATGTGGACAAAGAATATGAGAGATGGAAGAAAAGTACATGTATCAGACATAAGTTTCTATAATAATAAATAATAATAATAATATTCAGTGGTGTAACAGCCCTCTGAGAGCCAAAGCCAACTAGCTGGCTGCTGGCCTCACATTCAAATGCCTAAGCAGAGGTGAACGATCATCCAACCAGATATAGGGTGACGTGTGGTCAGCACGACGAACCCCCAGCCATTGCTAGTTTTCATGACCGGATTACGCTACCCATTGTAGCTCCCCAATTTCCTCACGATGCTGGGTTGGCACCAGTCCCATACACCGGTCAAAAATCTCATGAGAAATTTCTTTCCTGAGACTCAAACCAGTGCTCATTCCGTATCACCGTTCTGAAGCAAGATGCCTCAGACTGCGCGGCTACAGCGCGGGACCATAAGTTTCTATAGCAGAGGTATTCAACCTGACTATGCAGCCCATTTTTCTGAACAACTAGAACTACTGACTCACTGATTGACTGAGTTGGGAGCTAGTGACAAATATTTTCATAATCATGAATTCGTCTTTTATTATGCAACAGAAAAAAATGTGCCCAACTACTGATTTTCATTTAAAAACACAAGTGATTTTTCAGACAGTTCGTTTCACAAAATACAGTATATTGTAATTGTTTACTTCAATTCTGTGACACATACAAGACACCCTCATAAAACAAAGGCTGAAAATCACTCACTGATCTGCACAGTATTTAAAAAAATGAATGAGGGATAAACATTAGGCAACAGCTGGAAGTGGAAACACTACAAGAAATGTTGGTTCTATTAATGTTACATTGGTATGAACATATTATGTACAGATTGTGCTTTGACAGCATAAAAATGAAGATAAGAAACAAATTATGACAGAGA